AAAGGGTTAACCAGCTGATTTTCGTAATGGTGAGGTGTAGTGTTTTCTTCGCGGTACGGACTGAATTCATAAATAATATTCAGACGATCTTCGGCTTCAAAAGGTTAACCGTGGCATTAGACGGATAGTACATGGTCAGCTTTTTACCCAAATCACTTTACCGCACGGAAAAGTCCCCACTGACGCCGTGGCGAATAGCAAGCAACATCACCGATTTCCTAAAAACAAGACGCAATACGCGTTTTATACGCAAATCTTTATAACAGACAATCAAGTCTTCCAGGACTGGCTATATGTGTGATGCGTGCGAGACCTGAATCAGCAAATGACCTTGTAACATATGAACCGAGTTTTGTACACGGAGCGATCAATCACGCACTAAAAGCGAGTGAGTTCCGGACTCAGGCGGTGCGGGTAGCCTAACTGGCAACAACCAGCCCCTGCAAGTCATGTTGCCCGCTTCTCTGGATTTGTCTTCTCAGTACAGAACATCCGTTTCAACCACAGGGTCTTTCCGGGAGGCTCTCGGAATGAAATTCACGGAGGTAGATTAACAACCTACATCAGGAACAGGCCGTCTTTTCAACCAATAACTGACAACGCGGATCGGGATGCAAGAAATGCAATCAGACAACTGAATATTAGTTCAATGTGGTTTTAATAACTTAATTAATCCATAATTTACATTTTGATAAGATAAAAATTGTAACATATTAACAAACGTCTCTCCAGAAAGTCAGTCCATGCACTAACTTAAATTCAAAATCTGTAGCTGTCAATATAATTGAATCTCTTCGTGTAAAATTATACTTTCTTATAAATTTCATAATTTATAGCGCAAATATACTTTTTATACAGGTACATATAATTAACGGGCTCAAACGATAATCAGTGTTTATTCATTAAGACACAACAGCGTTGTGTCAGACCCTCTCGAGACATCGATTAGAATTACAAGACGTTACGAAATTCGAGCACAATTATATATCCGAAGTATAATTGTACAATTAAAACTGATTACTATATTACTGAAATTCAAAGCTCTCGGCTTCAAACAGTGTATGGTATAATTGATTGATTCGAAGTACGGCATGGCCAACATGTGAAAATAAAATTGTTTATTGCTACCTAACACGCACGAGATTTAATTAAACGTGAAACGAGATTGGACATAGACGTTTATATGATCGTTTTTCGAAGTCTGTTAAAATATTATGAAACCGCAAAAGCAGGGGATACATGTGGTGGAATATATCAAAGAATACTGCCTGGTCACGGGTCAACATGGCTACAAATTCATGGCACTTCCAGGAGAGAACCTAGCGGAAAGGTAAGGTCACGCACATTAATTCTTTGTCGCGAAAGCTAATAACACGATATCATAAACGCTGAGATGAGATTAAAAATTACATAGGAATTTCATAATTATCACCCTAAACTAATATAGTCAGAATGATTAAAATACTTATGGTAGAAAAATTTGGAAACGTGTAGGTGTCTTAGCTAAGGCGGTTAGCCGCCGTCTTCTCACCGCGGAGGCCCTGAGTTTGTTCCAGGTCAGTCCATGTGAGATCTGTAGTGAGCAACGTGGCAGTGGGGCAAGGTTTTCCTCAGTCATTCGATTTGTTCCTGTCAGTATCACGTGTTAATACAGTGGGCTCGTCAGAGGCCCATTTCCACAGACAGAGTCTCGAGTATCAAAACAAATTATAAGAATATAGAAATTATAAAGGAACATAAAATTCTGATCGAAAATCTGATGGAAAAAGAGCCACTGATAAGATCTAGGCTTAGATGGAAGGTTGTAATGGAACTGATTTATAATAGTGAAGTGTCTTGTTGAAGAATGTATTTTATAAATGAATTAACGTGTGAAGCTGTTATTATGTTATGATTTATTGTATATTGAGCACATATTAAAACAATATTACGGGAAGGGATGATCAATTTGGATTAGCGTACCTGCACATTTCAGCATCCAATCGCAATTGGAGAATCACTACGAGTACTGATAATAATGGTGGAATTCCTGGAGTGGGTTACAGTGAAGAGCTGCCTCTAGTGCATTCATGACGTTTATGGTGATCTGTATTATTGTTAGCCGCGTTAGTAAGAGATATGGAGCCGTGTACGTATCAGAATCAGATTCGTTATTGACATGATGTCCCATCGTAGTTCGCATTTACAGAAGTGGACATAAATGCAGCTTATTACAGGCGGAAACTTTGAGGGATGTAATGTAAGGTAAGGTAAGGTAAGGTTTTTTTATTTAGTGTTCTGTTTGACGACAGGTCCATATGAACAGGATCTTTCCATCCTTTTCTCGGACTGGGATCTGTTCATATACGTTCTTGGCAGATGATCCAGAAGTGGTTTGCCATTGCCTTCTTCTGTGTGTGAATGGAGTAATTGTTGGGATGCCACGGAGAAACCGGGGAAGCCCCTGGAGGAAAACTCCGTGTTGCCTAGACCACGGCCTTGCCCAACACAAGTTATAAATTCGGGCAATTCGGAAAATGGGGTGATAATATTAAAAAAATATATTTCAGAATAAGACATGAATAAACGAAGTCTTAGGGTTCCATAAAAGACGAGAATTTCTTTGACTAGTTGAGCGAGTATCAGCTTCTAAAAGGAACTCTGATCAATGGAATTAAAATGGAATACATATTTTACAACGATGTTTCACGTCAGAAGTTATACACTGCCGAGTAGGGAAGTGACATGTTTTTGAAACTTAGGTAAGACATTTTAAGGTAATGTACTGAAAATGTCTTGGAGTGACGAAGGAATATCATGAAATATTCAGTTATGACAGCCACAGCCTGATCACGATTGTAAATAGGTGAGATTACCTTTCGAACACGAATCTACAGGCGTTAAGGTTAAATCAACTTTAATTTCTCTGTTTAGTAAAATGCTTAACAACTTTTATCAACTGAAGAAGTCATTTAGCTCTGAGTATGGTGGGAAGATTACTATGAACTGTGAATTGGTAGTACCGGGAAAATTTTTCGTAATCTGTTTCATTTACCGTTAGTAACTTAAAAAATACAAATAACATCGCCCATTATCAACAATTCCTCATCGGAATTCGAACACGCTATCTTCCGAATTCGAGTCAAGTACAAATGCAAATCGCTATGTAACAGGTCTCAGTCAAAGACTCTGATGGTAGAGAAAATAATCCAACTAATTCGACCCAGAAATATGAGTACTTCTTCAGAGCGCTCATTCGTAGTTAAGATATTACCCGCATTTCATGGATCTGAAGGTTCATTACTGTGGTCACAAGAGCCCGCTACACGTCCGCCATTTTCCTAATATCCGTTTTAATATCATCCTCTTATCTATCCCTCTATCGGAAAAGGAATCTAGTTTAAAATTTTATATTCAGAGTTCAAAGTTCTTTGGGTAATTTGTTCATTAAGAGTTTATATTCCAAACTTGCGCTCAACAGATAAGACTTTTATAATATGAATATACCTAGGGCGGTCAGCTTGTCGACCCTTGATAATGGAAGCAGTGGTAACCTCCGAAACGTTGGAAACTAAATTTAAATTAATTGTAAATATATCTTAAAAATGAAAAAAAGTACAATTGCGATTTAAAAACTTATCTTTCAATTCAATGTCATTATTTCTTTAGTACACTTTCCCAAAATTAAAAAAAAGTACTTTTCTTCAACTAACGCCAATATAAAGACCAACTTATTTGCCTGTATTCCTCCAAGATCAGTAACTTTCAGAACGTCTGAAATTCATTCCATCACATAATCTCATCAGTGGAGTTGAGGAACAATACCGCTGGAAAACTTCCTTGAAAGGGATCACTTGGAAAGTGATGGAGTCGGTGAAGTGACGTCAAAACGCATCATAAGTCTGTGACCTGAATTTGATTAGTTGAGGACCTGTTCAATTGTGGGTTTCTGTATTAGCAGTGTCGAAACTTTCGGCTCGGTTACTATTTTGAGTACGATCGATATTACGTTCCCATCCGACTATACAGGGTGTTCAATCTGATACGCAATTCAAACTACTACACAAAAACCGACGAATCCAACGGTAATACTGAATCCTTTCCATGCATCTCGTTGTTGCTGCTTATGTACAATGTTAAATCACTACAGCCGTAATTTCAGCTTTGTCGCTCGGCGAGCAATTGTCATTGGCAAACACTTTCCAAATCACGAAATGTCCCCGCCGGTATATTATTGCCTTACTCGATACTTCCTTTCCAGGACGAAAATCGCTAACTTCCTCATAAACAATAACAAATGATGTTGGATAATGAACACACGTTCTGCTTTTAAACACACCATGCTTGCATATGCACAGCTTTAGAACAGCTGGCGTTAGGAGCGGCCTAGTAACAAGTGACCTTGACCCAATGGCTGAGATTGGGCGGAGTCTATTATACGGGGGGTGGACCTGCTTCTGATTTATTTTTTTATACTACAGTACGTGATCGATGTTGGTTGTCGTCTTATAATTTATTATTACATAATTATAAACACTATGCTCGTTCAATATAACAATTCGAAATTAATTATTATTATTATTTAGTGTTCTGTCTGACGACAGGTCCATATGAACAGGATCCTTCCATCCTTTTCTCGGACTGGGACCTGTTCATATACGTTCTCGGCAGATGATCCAGAAGTGGTTTGCCATTGCCTTCTTCTGTGTGTGAATGGAGTAATTGTTGGGATGCCACGGAGGAAAACTCCGTGTTGCCTAGACCACGGCCTTGCCCAACACAAGTTATAAATTCGGGCACCGCCGGGAATCGAACCCGAGGCCCCAGGATTACAAGGCCAGCGTTCTAACCGCTAGACAATAAGAAATGATAATTTGGTAAAAGACATAATTTTAAGTTCAGCGGGTTCTGAACATATTTGTGTCTAAACGTCGACGTTCAGCGATTAGAGATTTTATTTCGTATGTCATTGCTTCAAATCTAGATCCGATGGCCGGCCTATTTAGCGTCAGCAAATGACAGATTAATCATCATTCCTCAAGTAGGCCACGACTGTCGCTTTCCATACATTTTCCATTTCATCAATGACTGTCATCCTCACAGTTGAAGATGTGTTAAATTATCCAAGAATCAAGTTACTCTGGGTTCTTGCTTCGTGTAGCCCTCTGGCTGAGTGACAAAATTTCGGAGAAAATACTGCTTCCATCTTCAGGGACTCCTTCCAAAATGCTAGTACGAGGATTAATATTTCATAAAAATCTGATATTAAGCTCAAGAAGGTTTAACGTCTTCAATGGAACCAGAAGGTCCATTGCCATGTTTACAAGAGGCCGCAGCATTCCTAATCTCCAAGTGCGTGCTACATGCCCTGTCCATCTCCTCCTTTATCTGAACCCAGTCTCATCTCTCTCGCAGGATCTTATGGGGTATCGTGCTGTTGATAAGTATAATTTCGGCCATCGCCATGGTACATATTGAGTGGACCCGAAATGACACCAACCCAACGTTTATTGCCCTGGACACCGCCCACTACCCGATTTGGAACATCGATTTCCCAGCCGTCACCCTATGCGGTATAAACAGAATACAGAAGTCGATGGTTTCCGCTGTGTCCAATGAATGGTATGTAAAAAAAAAAAAAATATATATATAAATTCCTATAACAGAAAAGTTGTGTAATATGGATTCACATTTTTTTTATTTACGAGTATCAATTTTTTTTAAAGAAACTGTATATGAATGCTTTGATACGCAAGTCTATTCATAACCATGACACTGAAAGAGTTATTATATCAATAAAGATGTGACATTTTGTGAGTATTTTTGGAAATTGGCGACGCAATTTTTCAATATGACATATCCTTCCTACTTCAGACTCTAATCGTGTCGTAGCAGCTAACATCGTAGTTTTTAAACGGGCGGACAGACATATACGGGCCCATTTACTAGTCAGATATTCAACAGACATTACCACCCTCGGTAACGTTGTAGACAATGCATATTCTGCTAAGTTTAACTCGTTGATGGATTCGATATTTACTACGGTATATTTATAATAAATCAGTGTAATAAGATTATAAATATTAAATTAATACCGGAATACACACATCCAAATTCAGAGTTGTTAGTTTGAAACAAAACAAATCATATGGTCTCCATGCATCCTTTAAGTCCTGTAAATCAAGACTGATACATCACAGGGTGTGTCAGCTCTGTGGCAGCATCCTCTTCAAGCAAAATCCTTTTTTTGATTTCATAAATCCGCCATGTTTTAATTTACAATATGCAAAACTTTCTGTACCAAAGTTTTGTATTTCAGAAAATCTAATAACCATACATCACTATATGGCTACATTGAAAATGACACTATTCTTGATCACACCTCAGAAGTTTGTTCGTCCGCCATGTTGGCATTATCAACTGAAAGAAATTTAAAATAATGATTTCGGTACAGATCTCTTGATATAATACGTCTATACCAAATTTCACCCAAATTCGTCCATCTGTTCTAGACTTCAACACGCGGACAGACAGACAGACAGACACAATCAGCTTTATTTACTTTTATTCATACACAAGCTCGAATAAAAATATTTTTCACATATAACATATAAAAACTGTGAATCCTTATTGCATTTCATCTCCTGCCTTCTATCTAAGGTGTAAATATTAAAATTTAATAGTACTGTATATTGTAATATTACGTATTAAAAACGTGAAAATTTCTTTTTACCTCAGGAAAGGTTATAAGACGGAGTGTTATAAAATACGGTGTTCAAAAGAATATTTGAACCTCAGAGGTGGAGAAAATTACACATTGAATAAAGAGATTCAAAATGTGTATTCATCTATAATTATGGTATCACATAACGGATTAATGCAACACGTATCAGCATGAAGGAAATGTTAAATGCATACAAAATACTAATCAGAATACCTTAAGAGAAGAATATTACTTACGAAACATTGGAAATAATATTAAAATCGGTCTTAGGATATAGTACGGATGGCTGTAGACTGGATTGAATCGTTCGAGGATAAGTTCCACTCGTAGGTAGTTATTTATGAACAAGACCATGCATCTTTAGGGTTTAATCACCTCTGTAACAACGGACTTTCTAAAAAAAAAAAAGAGCTTGGAGCATCGAGTTGTTTTGTCTGACGAATAAAACCTAATTACCTATCAGTACAATGTAACACGCATACCGACCTCTATCTATGTTGTCTAAACTGAGGTTAAAACCAACCCCATTTCATTCAAATACAATCAATTTAACAGTGGTTATTTCTAAAGCTGAAGCATAGATATTGATATTTTATTTTAATATTTAAAATATTTTATATTTTATTATCTTATTAAAAGTGTGATTTGACGGAAAATATTAAAATATTAATCGAAATGCGGAACGTGAAATGATATTTTAAATATTTTATATTTTATTATCTTATTAAAAGTGTGATTTGACGGAAAATATTAAAATATTAATCGAAATGCGGAACGTGAAATGATATTTTAAATATTTTATATTTTATTATCTTATTAAAAGTGTGATTTGACGGAAAATATTAAAATATTAATCGAAATGCGGAACGTGAAATGATATTTTAAATATTTTATATTTTATTATCTTATTAAAAGTGTGATTTGACGGAAAATATTAAAATATTAATCGAAATGCGGAACGTGAAATGATATTTTAAATATTTTATATTTTATTATCTTATTAAAAGTGTGATTTGACGGAAAATATTAAAATATTAATCGAAATGCGGAACGTGAAATGATATTTTAAATATTTTATATTTTATTATCTTATTAAAAGTGTGATTTGACGGAAAATATTAAAATATTAATCGAAATGCGGAACGTGAAATGATATTTTAAATATTTTATATTTTATTATCTTATTAAAAGTGTGATTTGACGGAAAATATTAAAATATTAATCGAAATGCGGAACGTGAAATGATATTTTAAATATTTTATATTTTATTATCTTATTAAAAGTGTGATTTGACGGAAAATATTAAAATATTAATCGAAATGCGGAACGTGAAATGATATTTTAAATATTTTATATTTTATTATCTTATTAAAAGTGTGATTTGACGGAAAATATTAAAATATTAATCGAAATGCGGAACGTGAAATGATATTTTAAATATTTTATATTTTATTATCTTATTAAAAGTGTGATTTGACGGAAAATATTAAAATATTAATCGAAATGCGGAACGTGAAATGATATTTTAAATATTTTATATTTTATTATCTTATTAAAAGTGTGATTTGACGGAAAATATTAAAATATTAATCGAAATGCGGAACGTGAAATGATATTTTAAATATTTTATATTTTATTATCTTATTAAAAGTGTGATTTGACGGAAAATATTAAAATATTAATCGAAATGCGGAACGTGAAATGATATTTTAAATATTTTATATTTTATTATCTTATTAAAAGTGTGATTTGACGGAAAATATTAAAATATTAATCGAAATGCGGAACGTGAAATGATATTTTAAATATTTTATATTTTATTATCTTATTAAAAGTGTGATTTGACGGAAAATATTAAAATATTAATCGAAATGCGGAACGTGAAATGATATTTTAAATATTTTATATTTTATTATCTTATTAAAAGTGTGATTTGACGGAAAATATTAAAATATTAATCGAAATGCGGAACGTGAAATGATATTTTAAATATTTTATATTTTATTATCTTATTAAAAGTGTGATTTGACGGAAAATATTAAAATATTAATCGAAATGCGGAACGTGAAATGATATTTTAAATATTTTATATTTTATTATCTTATTAAAAGTGTGATTTGACGGAAAACATTAAAATATTAACCTAATTCACAATATGACGCAAATATACTACCATAGATATTGAATAATAGTAACATTGGAATTCAATTTATGTTTCCGGTAGCCTCGCGATATTTAATTCTTTATTAAGGAATATCGACACGACACAAAGATGCTCGACTTCTACAAGGTTCCATCGCAAATAAACATTAGCACTCAATCAATATGAATGTTAGTACAGAAATTATTAACCCTTTAAAGCTTACTGGTAATTATATGTCCCACCTGCTTTAAGAATCAATGTCTTAATTTTTATGTATACATTTCGTATGATTCTCACTGTAAACAGCGATTATATCCTTAAACAGCGTTAACCAGTTGACATTCGTAATGGTGAAGTGTTGCGTTTACTTCGCGGTACGGACCAAATTCTTTAATATTATTTAGACGAGCTTCGGTTTCAAAGGGTTAAAGATTCTCGTTACTTTATGTCTATATTTCATATTACTGCTTTTTTTTAAAAAAAATTAATGTTATGTCGTATTCCGCCATTATTTAACATTCTTTGTCTCTCCTTTTACCGAATAGTAGCGGCTTGTGTGAAAATGGCTGGACGTGCTTCGAAGAGTTCGCGTCATCTGCAGGCCGTCCATCAATTCATCTTGACCAAAATGGCCTCGCCACTTGTATGTTCATGTGGAAACTAGTCCGGCTGGTGTTGGGAAAGTACGATGTAGCCAAATTAATGACGAGAATTTAACTGAACTGCACATGACATCTTTAATAATAATAATCAACTCAGTCTATTAATACTGAAGTGAATATTTCTCAGAGCTAAAATCCATTTCCGCGATCTTCGTCGAAAGTAACTTAAATAAACCTGAATAAATATTTATGCTCTTGTGTAAGTAAAGTAGTCGTTTTAATTGTCGGAAGTAAATTATATTTGACGTAATTCGACAATTTGTCGTAAATCGCTCCACAATTAAAAGAATTAATTAAAATCGGGTTATCCGTTCTCGATTTGACTGATACGTACGGTTGATCACGCTATGCGTCACATCAATTTACCTTTAACATCAAGAACGTGTCTTGATTCTGACAAGACGTTTCCAGCAGACGTCCGCTTGTAAAGCTCTCAATGTGTGGAGTGTAATGAGGATTTGCACACAATACGATACACAGGCCTACTCGCATTGATGCTAGTCTTCATTGATTCTTTCAGTCTGAGAGTCTCAAATTATTACACTATATACAGGGTGTTCAAAAATAATGATTAAAACATAAACTAGGTGTTCAGGGGACTGGCCCAAAGAATGAAAATTTCTATGAATGTGGGTCCGCACATTAATTAAACGGTGCTCCTATCGACTGCACAGCTTCCATACACAGCACACAAACGTTTATGAATGTTCACCACAGTTTCTTTTTCAGCAAAAAAGAATTCAATTACAGCTCGTTGCTTGTAACGAGAGTCGTTCACAGACGCCATTTTAACAGTTCACTACAGCTCCGCCATTGGTTGGAATCATTTGAAACTCCGTACACGAACGCGAGAAACATCAAATCTCAAGCATGTAAAAGTACACTTTTCTATCTTCATTATTGGCTGAGAAAAAAAATGTGGGGCATTATTTAATGAGCGACCCTCGTAGTACCACCATTTCTCCTTAATTCCCCTTAGATATATAAAAATCACGTAACAAAATTGTTCTAATCTAACCCACATTTTATATCATCTTTCAACAAACTGTCCTTGAAGTTTACGATGCAACTTACTTCTTGAGAATGAACGTCTGTGGAGACAAAACATTAATCTCGGGTCCACCAACTTTGGACCAAGCGTAACACTTTTATTCACCGTTATTTTTCCCCTCTGAAGTCCAAAAATAATTTTCAGTATCCTGTTCCTTTAATTGATATCGGAAATTTCACACCCATACATATTAAAAGGCGAAACGTGGCGCTCCGAGAACTAACTTATTTGCTTTATATGGAATACGGATGATAACTGATTTTAATAATTATCGAGGAATATTCCTCTTAACATCTGCCTACAAAATTTTATCCATCATTCTTTTACAAATTATTGGGGATCATAATTTTTTATATATTTGCCTGGGCATACAATGGGACAGTCCAACAACTGTTTATAGACTTCTAGAAAGTCTATGATTCATTTAAATATCTTGCTTTAATTTGATGTACCTAAGAAGTTAGTCAGGCTAATTAAAAAAGTATTTAAGTGAAACCTCTAGCAAAATTCGTGCACTTAAACATCTCTCCGACACAATGACCTGAAACAAGGAGATGCTTTATCGCCGATGCTTTTAAATTTTGCCTTCGAATATGTCATCAGAAAAGTCCAAGAAAATCAGGGCGGTTTGGAATTGAATGGGACACATCGGCGTTCGGTCTTTGGTGATAATATAAATCCTATAAAAGCAAACACAGAAACGCTCTTAAGGGATCTTGATCTATAAATAAATGCAGGAAAGAAGGGACAGAACCAGAATATAAGGGCAGCTTACGAATCGTTCGAAAATGCGACAGAATTCAAGAACTTGGGGACGATACTAACAAGTCATAATGACACTCATGACCAATTCAAGAGCAGATTAAATCCAGGGAATGCTTTGCTATCATTCAGTCCAAATGTTTTGTCTTCCCGTCTCATACCAAGAAAACTAAATATTAAAATTCACAAAAATTTAATTTGCCGGTTGTGGTGTATGGGTGCGAAACTTGGTCTCTCACTTTGATTTGAAGGAGGGATATAGATTGAGGGTCTTTGAGAACAGAGATTTTTGAGGGAGATATTTGGACCTGAAAGGCCTTTACTAGGCGTAGATGGGAGGATAACATTAAGATGGACATTAAGGGAGATAGGACTCGATGCAACGAATTGGATGCAGCTGGCTCAGGATAGAGTCCGGTGGCGGAATTTTGTGAAAATTTTCTGCATCATAGAGTGATTGAGTGACATAGCTGACGCGAAGACAAGAAATTCTCATCTGCCTGATATCAACTATTTCCCGAACTGAATGTACTTGTAAATTTGTGAAAACAGTTTCTATTTTAAACGTTTTCACATTGCCATTCTTTCTAAAGACTTATTTTCGTTCATACCACACAAATTTCGAAGTCCTTTCCTTGTGAATATGAGTTAATACAAAGTCTTGAATATCCACTTACTGAGTTTTATACATATCACAATGTAATCTTACACCCAAAGTAAGAGCTAAAATATTGTTAAATTAGAGGGCGCTACAAGACACTTTTAAGGAAACAAAGTCATATTTAATTTATTTCGTTGAATGTAGGCTACATGACATCTACAATTTTCAAATAATAGTCAGTACACTCGATATTTCAACGTCATGAACTATCCTTTCCTTTCTTTAAGAAAAACGCTGAAGTCCGATTCGAATGTCATATAAAATAATATTAGGTCAACATATTTTGATACAAATTCGAAAAATATAAATTATCATCGAAATTCTCTGAGCTTTATCGCGTATGTTAACAAACGGAGAACATACATCGTCACAAAGCGTGGACCACTCACCTTTTCAAATGCTGGCAGGTTGGCCCGCTGTCAGGAGTCGAAAATTTAATCTTCATAGAGCCTGGAGTCTCTGCTCAGGCCGTGAAACTTACAGGTAACATGGCCTCACCATCTTTTTGTATCAGATCTGTAAATAAAATAGTTATTTAAAAGAACATTAAGTTTGTAAGATTTGAAGTTTTCACAGCGATGAGTATGAAGATTTCTGTCTTCTAGGTTGTTGCGCTGCGTAGTCTGGTCGATGTTTACCAACGTTTCAGAGAAGATTTCTGTCTTCTAGGTTGTTGCGCTGCGTAGTCTGGTCGATGTTTACCAACGTTTCAGAGAAGATTTCTGTCTTCTAGGTTGTTGCGCTGCGTAGTCTGGTCGATGTTTACCAACGTTTCAGAGAAGATTTCTGTCTTCTAGGTTGTTGCGCTGCGTAGTCTGGTCGATGTTTACCAACGTTTCAGAGAAGATTTCTGTCTTCTAGGTTGTTGCGCTGCGTAGTCTGGTCGATGTTTACCAACGTTTCAGAGAAGATTTCTGTCTTCTAGGTTGTTGCGCTGCGTAGTCTGGTCGATGTTTACCAACGTTTCAGAGAAGATTTCTGTCTTCTAGGTTGTTGCGCTGCGTAGTCTGGTCGATGTTTACCAACGTTTCAGAGAAGATTTCTGTCTTCTAGGTTGTTGCGCTGCGTAGTCTGGTCGATGTTTACCAACGTTTCAGAGAAGATTTCTGTCTTCTAGGTTGTTGCGCTGCGTAGTCTGGTCGATGTTTACCAACGTTTCAGAGAAGATTTCTGTCTTCTAGGTTGTTGCGCTGCGTAGTCTGGTCGATGTTTACCAACGTTTCAGAGAAGATTTCTGTCTTCTAGGTTGTTGCGCTGCGTAGTCTGGTCGATGTTTACCAACGTTTCAGAGAAGATTTCTGTCTTCTAGGTTGTTGCGCTGCGTAGTCTGGTCGATGTTTACCAACGTTTCAGAGATCATACTGCCTCCGTCATCAGGGCCGTGATGACAGAGGTAGTATGACCTCTGAAACGTTGGTTCACATCGACCAGACTACGCAGCGCAACAACCTAGAAGACAGAAATCTTCAACATTAAGTTTCTTTTCCAAATAATTTATAAAAAAATCTTTCACGAATTCTACAAAACAAAACTTTCTGTTAATTTACCTGTAAGTTATTTAATTTTTTTCTCAATCACACGTTCAACTGCCTCGAATGTGGCCTACCTTCCAGGAATTATTCTATCACGAGGCTCATAAGCAGAGGATGCAAACAACATCCAAGTGAAAATACAGACGGGAAATTTTTAGCCCTGTACGGGAACTCTCAGCGTTTTTGTTCTGATTGAATATAACTGCACATACCTCAAATGACACACATGTAATATCGTTAGGATTAATAATTAATTCTGACAGTATATACCCAACTGTGATTGGTGCTCGTATGAATTAAACCCACTTTTGGTAAGTCCCACTTAATTTTCTTGTATCCAGTTGCACATACAGTAACTCAACGTATTATAACACCAAAATATTTCCATAATATATAAATAATCTTTTGGTTACAATACAGGGCTGTAATTTATGCGTCTTATGAAAAGAAATGCAAGTTAACATGGGGCTTCAACGATAACATCAGAAAAACATCGCGATCTGAAGAGATTTTTTGTACACCAATGTAAAACCAGTTGGATGTCTGAATAATATCAGGACCATATATTTCATCCATCTTATATCATCATTTATCGCCATTTTCGCGGATGAAAACATTTAACTATGACCAAGAACAGGTTAACAAGACTGTAAATTGTAATATGTACACCGAAAATACCCAGGTTTCAAAAGCGATATTAGCAAATTTTATTACTAAATGCCGATACCAAAAGCTGGTTCATTCACCAGTGCCAACGTCCCAAGACACATCCAAATACCCCCATCCCCCACAGTGGCACAACGTCCATACCAAATTCCACCCAAATCCGTCTAGTGGTCCTCGAGTTGAATCATTCGAACAGACAGACATGAACAGCTTCATATTAATTCGTTCCGTGCACTTCGTTTAAACAACGCACAGTAAATTTAAATTGTGCAAAAATGAATCTATTAATGCATTAAGTAAAATAAACATATAACGGCCTACATGAAACTTACACATAATGTAACATTATTATGTTTTAAAGTAAGTTTACGAACTTAACCACTCTTACTTACTGTCTGTAATTAGCATTTGTCGAGTTTAAAGTCGATATATCGAATGCGTCGAAAGAAAAAATTGAAAAGAGATTGCCCTGATAAAACAATATTGCATCAAACATTAGAATACTAGCAATGAAAAAGCTCTAATTGCTTGAATGATAAAACTCTTCTAAATAACAGCCTTATTAATGAAAAATCTACAACAAAATTAACGACGTCACGACGTGTCGCTGTTAATTCTGCAAGAATGATAAGACACATGAAGACACAAACGCTAAAAAGATATATCATCCCTACCCCATAATGTGTTAAAAGATGCACAGGTTGGTAAAACCGGGTTACGCCAGTATCAGATCTGTTTCACATTTAATGTTGTTACATAAAGCAGGCATAGTGATGTATCTTCGAGATTAATAACAAGGAATTTATACAATATATAATTCAACAGGCTAAGTAAATAAATATTTGCACAAAAATGGTCCTGTGGAATGAATTCATTAAAAAATTCTATGTACGATTACCACATTTATAAGAAATGACACAGATTGAGGGCGTTTGAGGAACGGATATTTATGAAGTGACACGAGGTTGGAGAAATTTAACACTGAGAATCTGAATAACTTGTGCTTTTTTTTAAAAAAAAAATTAGAATAGTCAAATTAGGAAGGATGAGATAGGCGAAATGTAGCACGCGTTGTGAGATGAGTAACACGTTCAACACTTTGTTTGTTGAGATGACTTAAGACAGAGGCTGGATGTGGGGTATTGTGAATACAATAACGAACCTTTGTGTTCCATAAAATAACACGTTCTTCCCGATTACGTAAGCGACTGACACGTTTTCAAGGATTCAACTCCACTAAATTAATTAATTCATTTATTTATCGAAAATCTGGAGATTCAAACCCGCATCCTTCCACTTTGCCGACAGAACGCATTCTAATTACTATTCATAAATCACTCCTACAAAACCACCGATTTCCTCGGTGTCAGTTGTCATCGAAGTAACGGTAGCAAGAAATCTGTTTCGTAATATTGACTTCAGTGTTTCAAGTATACACACAGTTAAGTATTCGTAAGTAACTTCTAATCTGTAGTAAATAAAACATATTTGAATGTCTGTTTTCGCTCAGAGGCATTAAGGTTCCCAGTAACGACACTAGCAACAAAATCCTCTTTTACAGTTTCCGCAACATATCTCCGAGCGAGTATGGCAGAAACATACACGCGCGGGAGGTGAAGACTGCGATTCGCACATGCGCAGAGATAACTCAGTCCTTATAAATGTGAAATTATTACGTTTCGGCTGTAGAAGGTGGGCGTGAGACGTTTTCATAAACATTTCACAGTTATCGTAAACAACATGACTCAACCATCTCGTTTTTTTATAAAACCTTCGTTGTAGAGTATGAATTATTTTAATGCTAGTTAATAAGGCTTATTTTTCCATCTCCCTGTGTTTCTTCCTCTCTGTCTTAGATCTGAAAATTCCCATGAGCCTCTTTTTCTCCCCGAAGGACACGAAGATAAAATTTCACACTCAACAGAACACGTTTGTTTTAGGTTACAAGCTAATGGAAGAAATTGACGTTCATGTTCTAGGAAACTGCCCCTTGGGATGACTCGAGGTCAAGTTTTAGACGACCTTCACTTCCTCTCACAACTGATCGACATGGACGAACATGATGCCACGAAACTTGGACGTTTACAGACCGTGTTAGACATGAATAATATCACGGCGACGGCTGCATTACAGAAGGTAAGAGCGACATTGCGACGTCGGATGAACCTTGACCTACGAGGTGCGATCGGAAAGTTTCAAGACTGTGTCAATAGAGGGCGAACCGGATGTAGTACGAGCTTCTGCCGCTAGGGGGTGCGGCCTACATTCATAGTGAATCAGTGTGCCAGCCGGCATCATCGAATTAGCATTTGTTTCTTAGTTACGGGCGTTTTGGTAGTGCATTACACCGACCCTCCTGCGATTGCGGAATGGCGGATTTTCATGAACAAAGAGTGTGCATCAAATTTTGCCAAAGACTCGCCAAAACGGCTACGGAAACCTATGAAATCCTAAAGCAAGCATTTGGGGAGTCCGCAATGGGTCGTGCACAAACGTTTGTGTGGCATTCACGTTTTAAAAATGGCCGAACCCCTG